GCCCAATTATTTTTCGACCACGCTGGCCTGGAAGTTAGCATAACTTGTGCGAGTGCAATACTGAAAAACAGATGGCGCCGCCTTCAGTAAACTGCTGGCAACACTGCCAGTCCATCAACCCTTACCAGCGTCATCTATTTTCTGAGCGCTAGCAACAGACAATTTGAATTTCGTAATTTTCCTGTAATCAAGACTAACGTCTGTTCGAAAAGATCTCTAGTAACAATTATCCAACAGCAACTTGCAGAAGAGAAACGAACGATTATCTCTCAATTTGAAATATATCACAAAAAGTACACGAACGCAAAATTAGCGCCAACTTGTAAGTTTTTATTACAGCTTATTGAAGACCCGTTTTTTTAAATCCTTATTTAAATCCCCTTTAGTACGAAAAGAATAGGTATTCTCATTTGTGTTAGATCATTTTAATTAAAGTGTACGTATACGTAGTGCGTGTGACAAATCATAAATTGTCCCTATGACAATTTATATGATACTAGCAGAGCACCCGACGTCGTTCGGGGTAAACAAATAAAAATATAAAACAATAATACAAGTAGGTAGTCCACTGGCAAAGTGCTCTATGTAAAATTTTTAGATTTTTAGTTTTTGGTGGATTACGTACCAGTATTTAAAGTAGTTTCATGTCCACTAACAACACAGTGCAAAATCTTTTTATATTCAGAAAAAATAGCATAAAATGTTAACTCTTCTTCTAAAAGTCGCTATCATACTTATTTATAAACTCTCAAAAGTATCCACCATCTTATGAATCTAGAAAACTGCTTTAGGTCGTGTAGACTGTTAATGTCATGGTATGTTATGTTATAATTTTACAAGGCTCGTATTTATCCAAATTTTCAGGTAATAATAAAAAAGATTCAATTTAAATGCTACTTGTTGTCATAATCGTTTTTTCAAATTTATGGCTTTCTATTATAAAATCACATAACGCTGTTTGCAAGTGGACTACTCAAATATTCAGTTCAGCATAATTTAAAGGAGAAAAACTATTTTCTTTGTTTACTTTAAAGCCATATAAGCCATACTATTAGCTTTATCGAGCTTTAACTAATATGGTATATTGATCATCACTTGTAATACAAATCTAGTTCAATTATTAATATTAGGTGGGTTAAGGTAGCGACCAAATTTCGAAACTAAAATTAGTCTACTACGGTACATTCCGTTTAGATGCCTATTCGCTTAGCTGTTTTAGTATTGCTGCACTTTTCTGGTAGAATGCTTAATTCGGAAGGAGTTTTATTCATTATGAATGCAACTTTTCCGTTTAACAGCATGGCGGGATTAAAAACAATCGGATGTTGCGAATGCGGAATTTTAACATCCGCGGATGCAGATGTCAAGTATTTTTAAGAAACAATTATAATTTAGTATAATCGTGAGATCGTTGTTTAACCCTCTAGTAGGCCAATTTTTTTATGAGTAGAAAAATTCAGGAGTGAGCACGAGAAATCCAAAAATGATGTCCATTTCGATCTGTGACAGTAACTTTTTCCTACAGGGGAGAAAAACCAAGACCGTCTGGAGACGGTCTCGCCGATATACTTTGACGTATTTTCAGCTTTCTCTTACATAATGCTGACCTACGAACCGGCAATCCCGTCTTCAGACAGTCAAAAATGCAAACTGGGTTTCTATATGTCGGCAAGCCGGTCTGTAGACGGTCTGTGTTCGAAAGCAATTTTCTCCATTTCGAATGCTGACATAATTATAAAACTTATATTAAAATACGGTGCCTTTAGCTATGAAATCCACCGAATTTTTTATATCAAAAAATTTTTAAAAGAAAAAATTTCTTTAATTACGAAATTACTAAATAGCAAGAAATAATTAATTTAACCGTGTCATTCACAATCTGTAATACAACTGCCGATTAAAGTAAGGGTACGATTTTTGTCTAAAGATCGTGCCTTACGAATATAGAAAAAAATTATTATAGGTGCACGAAAAAGGTGTTTAGTTAACGACCGTCTGAAGGCGGTTCAGCCTACTAGAGGTTTAAACAGCGCTTACAAGCCATACCAGTAGTGCGATTCCCATTTTTCTTAACGACAAATTTCGTATCGTTAGCTAACGATTCCGCCAAGTTTCGTTAAGTGCTATTCCCGAGCAGATATTATCGGTAGGTTTGACAGTTGCCTAACGAAATTTGTTGATAGCCTAGCTACGAATATTTTGCCGTTGAAAAGCCTAACGATAAAATTGGTTTAAGTTTTTATTGAGAAAAATTAGGCAAAATTCATCGGTAAGCAAACTATTATAATAAAAAATTATAAATTCGTTTATAAAAAATACAACTTTTTAGAAAACGACAATGGCGTTCCAGTTTCTTGGATACGATGCGGAAATGGCCCAACAACGACAAGGAGCAAGGAGTTTTGCAGCAGAACGCGCTCTACCAAGAGAAGTGGCCCCTTTGATTTGGACGAGGGCCAATTTAAAAGGTTATATCGGCTGACCCCCAATCTTGTTTATGAAATCATAGACAAAATTGGCAGTCGTCTTGAAAGAAAATATGTATCAGCATTATCGGCTGAAAAACAGGTAAGAGATCTCAAACTTCTTGATCATCAAACAAAGGCCATCAATTTAAAAAGGGAATTCGTCGATTTTCAGGTGCTTGCAGCGCTTCGTTTTTATGCGACCGGCTGCTACCAACGGCCAGTGGGAGAGCAATGGGGACTCTCAATGAGTCAGTCTTCCATTAGTCGTTCAATTCATAGGGTAACTGATGCCATAAATGAAACTATGTTTATGGAAAACGTACGTTACCCGATGACGGTAGTTGAACGACAGGTTGCCCGAAGTATTTTTTCAGCAGCGCGTGAGCCTTTTGATGGCAATATTGGTGCAATTGATTGCACGCTCATAGCAGTTATCGGGCCAAAAGATCATGAGGAGGCATACATTAATCATCACGGCTATCACTCGATAAACGTTCAAATGGTAAGAAATACATACATACGTATGTAAATAAATATTTGTATTTCTGTATGCTCGTTTTTTCGCTTATTGGATCCCAGCTTTTTAAGACAGTGGTTGTTTTTTTACAGGTGTGTGATCCGAACCTCAAAATTTTGAATGTAAATGCGAGATTTCCCGGTGCACGTCATGATGCATATATATGGAATGCATCCGCTGTTCGGAGAGCAATGAAGCGAGCGTATGATCGGGGAGACCATAGCACATTTTTAATAGGTATTCTTCTTTAGAAAATTTACGAAATTTATTTTGATTTATAATATCTTACAGAAGACTCGGGTTACCCATTAGAGCCATGGCTGATGACACCTCTATCAAACCAGAGAGAAGGTACACCGCAATTTCGATACAATGAGGCTTTATGTAAAGCAAGGAACTGTGTCGAACGACTATTTGGAGTTTTGAAGGGAACATGGCGATGCCTTTCGAAGCAGCGAGTACTTATGTACGAGCCAGGCTTCGCTGGCAGGATTGTAAACTCCTGCGCAGCTCTGCATAATATGCGACTCAACACAGTTGAAAACAACAGCGATATACAAAGTGAAGATCGAATTGTGGAAGCAGTTTTGGAAGAAGATTGGGAAGAATCCATTCACCCATCAGCTCTCGCCAAGAGAATGCAAGAGCGCCTTATAGCTGCTAAATTTACTTAGAAAAAAATCAACTAATAAATATTTATCACATACATACAAACATACATATGCGCTTTTTATTATTACATTTTATTTATTACACCACTTAGGCAAAGGTTTTGATAGTTGATCTTGCTTAATT